AGCTGAGTCTGGGCTTCCCACCTACCTACCTGCACGGCGGTCCCGACTGAAGGTAGTGTGAACAGGCCCTACAGTTGGCCCCGACTAGGGCGTTAATCCCCCAACCTGTCGAGATTCTGGACCCACGAGCAGACCCCTCGTGCCGCCACCTTCTCTCCCTCCACCGTGAGGAGAGCCAAGACCAGAAGAGCGCGGAGAGGAGGTGGGGAGGGCCTCGCCGGACGGCGGAGGGGCACACCACAAGTGCGAGTGAGAGAGAGCGGGAGAGCAGCGCGCGGCGGCCGGCTGACAGGAGGGAAAGAGAGAGAGAGAGAGGTGGATAGAATAAGAAGGCGTCGTGCGCGGTCCGCTCGGTTCGGTCCGTTTAGACGGCAGTGTAATTTTTGAACGCGGCCGGGTCGGACGCACCGAGTGTAGAGGTGCTGCGCGAGGCTCAGTGGACACGAGCGTGCACGAGCGTGCGGACGTGCGAGTGTTGGGGTGTGTGCGTGCGTGCGTGAGCGTGATCGGGAGTGCCCTGTGCTCACCGCAGTGAGGACCGTCAGGCCTCAAACTGAGGATTTCCTCCACCTGGATTAGAACGCGCTCGCCGCCTTCGTTCAAGGCCTAAGGACCAACAAGGTACAGTGCAGCACAGGGCAGAACAGGGGCCTTGGCGGTGTCACCTGCGCACCTGCCGTGCCCCCCAGGTGCGGCAGCTGGTCGCAGCTGCGAGGGAGAATGCGCGGGTCTTCTTTTTTGCGCGGGTTTCCCCGCCGCGCTCCATGTGTGAAATCTCTGGGCGGTTAGGAGATTGTGAATTATACGGGCGTGGCTACGTTTCGAAATGAATTTGCAAGTCGAATATAATGGTGACGCGGTATTTGCCGGGTCCTTGACTCAGCAGTTGAACAGGTGTCCAGAGCGGGGCTGTGCCCGGGCCCCGGGCCGCACTAGCTCTGCTGCTCTCTGCTACCCGTGCGAAATACGAGACGGGCACAATTCGTCATAAGTTTGTGAGGGGAGAGTCGTTCGACCTCCTGACAGAATAAAGTGGATGGGGGGACGTGCCCGTGCCTGATCACGATCCAGGGCTGCGATACTACTGGCAGAGTGAACGAATTCACGTTAGTCAGTTACTATTAGAGTGTGCTATTTTGTGCTTTTCTAAACCCACAGTTAAGAGTCGCTGTCTTCCTCTGCTGACAGAACGAAATCAAATCAAATAAGTCGCGCGATGAACTAGAAAATAGTCACATATTTTGTATCACTTTGTTGTATTCCACTGTAAACTAACTTAAATATTTACGAGAGAAGGGACGGCTTCAAATACACACGAGCCTAAGCCTCGGACACTCTCCCGGCCGTTGCTCCGAACGTCCTTTTAATACCACCAACATCATTTAAATACCCCCGGTGTGTGTGACATCACACGAAACATCGTGCTATGTGTATGTGCGTGCGTCTGTGTGCGTGAGTGCGTGTGTGTGTGTGTGAGAGAGCCGGTCCGTGGGCGTATCTACCTCCTCGGTGCTGCGCTGCGCCCCCGCGCATCCTGGCGAGTCCTTCGAACAGTCGTCGTCCTGCCCCGACGCGGCGGCCCACCACTCTCTGGCTCTGCCTGTCTCGGGCCCGCCTGCCACAAAGTTTACGTGCGTCGACAATCCAATTCGACGACGACGGTCCCAGCCAGCCATCTGCATCTTCAGCGGCTATGTCGCATCTGCAGATGGCCCCGCCGGCGCCGCCACGCCCCCACGAGAGCCCCTGAGCAACCGGCGAGCCTCCATCACAGCCGGATTATAAAATGTTCGCGAACGATGAGGTTTCATCCCGTACGACACATTGAACAGATTTAGTAAAACACAAATTAACAACTCTCTTCACGGTAAAAACAATGTCTCACTTTTTGAGGGAAAAGGAAAAACTCCCTTGTTTTGGGAACCTCCTAAAATTGAGGAAAACTCCTCAGACTTCGCCTTAGATTTTGAGAAACCTCCTCAAAAAAATGAGGAAAAATTCCACATTTTTCGAGGAGACTTCCTCGAAATCTGAGAAGCTTTCCTCAAACCAAGGGAGTTCCTCAAAGTTTTCCCTTTCCCCTCAAAAGATGAGACATTGTTTTTACCGTCTGCGTGGACACTGGTCGGGGCTGGAGGGCGATCCTGCTCTGCAATCAATTTGAAGACGATGCGACGGCGCGACGTGATGGCCTATACTCACTCGTTGGTGGAGAGGGGGCCAAACTACTTGTTTTACTGCCGCGGCCGGTGGGACAATAACCAGACTGACTGAAGCTGCCGAGGCGACCCGTGTTGCGTCACGCCTATTCCGGCCGAGCCCCGGGTCCGCGGGTCGGCCCGGGCGGTGACGCGGCGCCGGCAGCGCGGGGGTCAAGCCGCGGGGTCGAGCCGCGGGGTCGGCCCCTCTCCTCCGGTATGATATGATAACAACGCCGACCAGTAAGTATAGCCTCTGCGCCCTCGGCTTCGTATCCGTGACTGAGCGCGAAGCTGTAAGGGGACGACTTATGCTCCTCCTCCTCCAGAAGCAGCCAGCAGCAGGAGCCCCGGCCCGGAACGCCTGGAGGATAGGCCGCGTACGGACATGCGAGCGTGACGGGCGTGCCTACCCGGCAGGGGCGCTAAGCGGTCCACACAGCCGACTATTCTATCGACTCTTCACTGGTGAGAAGTGGAAAGGGTGTAAGTACAGCTCCGCGTGTTCTCCTCCCCTCGCGATTTCCGTATCGTCCGAATAAAACTTTCCCGTGTGTCGTCCGCTGCGCGGCCTGGCGCAGGATGTGCTCTGCGCGTGTCGTGCAGGCCAGGCCAGGCAGGCCAGGCGGGGGAGGAGTAGTAGAGGTGTTTGCTGCAGCAGCAGGCCCGAG